AGTCGTTGATTTGTTTTTTCCGACCAGCCAACTTGCATTAATGTCATTGCGGATCTGTGTTTTTCCTCTTTTTCATCACTTGAAATATCTGATAGTGGATCTGGAAGCTAAAAATATCCAAGGCAAAGTGCTTCAGTCCATTTTTAAAAATTATTAGTTAGCATAACTGGAACTTTTTCTCAAGTTGAAGTACAGAATGTGCTTGTTGTATGTATTTGGTATAATCACTAATGGCTTTTTTGCCATTTTGGGGGTTAAAGATTAATAGAGATGTCTTCTGAATGGACTAGCTGCTAAAGAGAAGCTGGAGAGCCAGTAACAAGTACTTAGCTTATGTTTTGTGGATGAGAATGGCATGAAAATGTCTTGCTGGCAGAATAAAACTCAGTGTTCTATGATCAGTAAAGAAACTAATTCTATGATGCCTTTGATCTTAAACCCCGCCCTCACCCCCCAGCAAACCCCAGAAATCAGTTTTCTGCATTTTGAGATGAACTCATCAAGGTCCCTTCCAGTCTTATGAGTCTGTGAATGCTTTCTCTATTGTTACTTATCAAATCTTGGCTATATTTGCCTGACTTTCCAGAGTTGCTCTTCAGGATGTCCCTCAGAATTCAGCCTCTGATCTTTCCTCCTTTATCTACATCATAGGATAGTGCTATTGTCTGAAATCCCAGTGTCGACATGGCTTAAGAGAGCTGCTCTCTGCTATTTTGAATAATCAACATATCTTGTTGAAATTCCAATCAGTGACAGCTTGCCCAGTGAAGTTACTTTTGGAGGTAATGCTGCAATTTGTGAGGTTATGTAGATGTCAGAGGTCCAGTTTTACTTAAGAAGCCTTTATTACTGTTGATACACTAAGAAGAAATAAGTGTGATTTTTTTTCAGATCGTACTTTGAGTTTCTAGTACTGACATTTTTTTAAAAGAAGGGGAGAAATAACTTGTAAGCTGGGCATGATGTGGAAGTCAAACATGACCTTAATACCGTTTTTAATCAATTTTCACTGTAGATAGTATAATTGAAATATGTAAAGTTGACTGTACTTGAATAAGGTTGGTAATCATTTTAGGAAGAAGATAGGTAAATATATAAGTAATTTTGTGACGTACAATTTTTAAAATATGCAGTAATACACTTTTATTTTATTTGGCAAGTCTTGTATTTTTTTTCTTTTTTTTTTTCTTTTTGCAGGACAAAGATACAAAAACTGGAACCTGTGGTTACTGTGGACTTCAGTTTAAACAGCAACATCACCATTGAAAAATCATCCCTTCATGACTTGCAGAATTGTCAGGATTTCAGTGTTAAAATATTAACAATAAACAAAATATAAAAGCTCAGAGAGCCTTTTTTGTGTTTAAAAACAAAATCTTGTTTGTGTAAAGATATACCAGCTTAACATTTGAAAAACTAAGGGCTTCTCTATGGTATGGGTAATGCACCCTGCAGATGTTGGGGCATGATTTTTACAGAGCATTAACATGTGGCACACTTACTGGTCTGTGTTGACTCTTGTGATACACAGTAAAGTTTCCATTGTGCTCTTTAATGTAGTGTACAGTACTATGTTAAGGATTACTAGAGAATTTTTTGTGTTTCCTAGCAGAGGCTACTTCAAGGGCAGAAATCACAACCTATAGTGTACATTATCCTAATATGTATACAGCCCGGCGTGTGTTTGGAGAGATGAATGATTCAAAGAAGTTTGAGGTAGAAATTCTAATCTCTGTTCATAGAAAAGACATTGTGCCATGTTATATTTTTACGATCTGGGATGCCTCTTAGTAAAATGTCTTGGAATTGAAACTGATGCTGAAATCAAATGGAAATGGAAATCTGATACTCTCTCCCTTCCAATAAGTTAAATAAATATAATTTATTTTCAAGCCTGAATTATACCTGGGTTTCAGATTAGAATATATGTGGTTTTGATAATTCTAGGTATTTGTCTCTTGGCTTCATTTTTACTCCTGTTCATAGATTGGTTACTGTGAGTGAATTTTCAGCTGATAAAAATAACTAAATTTAAATCCATTTGGTCTTTTGTTGTGTAGGAAAGAGATTTCTTGTTGTCAAAGCTAGAAGTTTTAAACAAAATGTCTAAAATACAGGGAAAAGTTTTTACCACAATTAAATTCTCTTCATAAATACGAAAAACAAACTTTGTGTTTTTCAAAAAGATCATTATGGTGATAACCAGTAAATCTTGGTTACTTTCTATCTTAATTCCTAGATGGTGAAGCAGATACAAATGCAATCCGATTAAATTAGTATTTTATACCCACTTAGCACTGGTCCAAATTACTTCCTTTGGTGAAATATAACAGACAACTAGGCTTTTATACATTCCTTTAGTTTCAATGTGAATTAAGTTCAAAGAGTAGAATGTTTAATTCCACCACTTTATCCATTTATATGTATAAAACTGGAAGTAGAATAATAATTTTTTCTTCATAATATTGAGTGGAGGGAGCAAAATGTTCAGGTCTTTTTTTTCCACTTGTACAGTTGGAATAGTTGAGAGAGAACTTATTTCTGTAAGGCTGAACAGCATTGCAGTGCCTCAGAATAACCTTTCAAGATTCATCAACAGCAGAGGAGAAATTAGACTTACATTAGCTATCAGAAAGAATACCCATGTATTTGGTGGAAAGGTACACTTGAATTCTGTGGCACCATACTGTTGGAAAAAAAAATGTAGGCTTTTACTGACTTGAATATCAATTGTATCATTCACTTGGTACTTTATCAAAAGAAACATGATTATTCAATTCAGTTTGCTGTTTCTATACTTTTTTCTTTATATACATATTTCTGGACTTCCTACATACCTGCCTTCTAGAGGCAGTAGGATTTGGTAGCTGGGACTTTAGCACATAAAAAGGAATAGGGTGCAGTACTATTTTCAGGAATAAGCATACTGGCTTGTGACCTTGGCTTTGGCTTTATTAAAATACGTTTAATTTACCCAGTTTACCACAGAATCTGGTGCAAATGCTGGAAGAACCAACTAGGGGTTGTGCTTCTCTTGACATGCTGCTGGCAAACAGGGAAGAATTTATAGGGGAAGTAGATGTGGATGACAACCTGGATGTGGATGACGACCTGGGCAGCAGTGACCATGAGATGGTCAAGGTCAGAATTCTGACAGAAGGAAAAAAGGAAAGCCATAGTATACAGACCCTGGACTTCAGAAAAGCAGATTTTGACTCCCTCAGGGAGTTGATGGACAGGATCCCCTGGGAGGCTAGTATAAGGGAGAAAGAAAGAAAAGTATTTTAAAGAATCCTTATTGAGGGTTCAGGAGCAAACTATTACAATGTTCAGAAAGAATAGCAATATTGGCAGGCAACTAGCTTGTCTTAACAGAGGAAGTTTTGGTGAACTTCATGAAGGGAATATACAAGAAGTCGAAACTTGGACAGATGACTAAGGAGAAATATACAAATATTGTTCATCCCTGTAGGGGTGCAATCGGGAAGGCCAAAGAGCAATTGGAGTTGCAGCTAGCAAGGGATGTGAAAGGTAACAACAACAGGTTTCTACAGATAAGAAGAACAAGCAACAAGACGAAAGTCAGGGAAAGTGAGCGACTTTTAGGCTACATCTACACTACAAGGTTTTTGCACAAAAACAGCCGTTTTTGCACAAAAACTGGCAGAGTATACACACCTCAAGCACGTTTTTTGTGCAAGTAAATCAACAGAGCAGAGGGATTTTGCCAGTAGAGTTATTCCTCTCCCTACAAGGAATAACTCCTTTTTGTGTTACAGCTCTTGTGCAAAAAGGCAGGTGTGGATGCTCCGGAGGGGTTTCTTGCGCAAAAACCCTTCCAATTGGAAAAAGCACAGGTGCTCTGATGGCCGTTCTGTGAATGGCCATCAGAGCTTTCTTGCTTCAAGAGTGTCCATACAGTGTGGACGTTCTCTTGCACAAAAGCACATCATTTTTGCAATGCGCTGTGAGGTCTGGACATGCTTTTGTGCAAGAACTCTTCTGCAAAAGGCTTCTTGTGCAAAAGCCCTGCACTGTAGATTAAGCCCTACTGAATGGGGAAGGCAACCTAGTGACACTGTGGAAAAAGCTGATGTAGTCAATGCTTTTTTTGCCTTGGTCTTTACGGCCAAGGTCAGCTCCCAGCCTGCTGCACTGGGCAGCACAGTATGGAAAGGAGGTGAGCAGCCTTAACTGGTGAAAGACCAAGTTAAGGACTACTTAGAAATGCTGGACATGCATAAGTCCATAGGTGCTGAGAGAGTTGTGAGCTGAGCCATTGACCATTATCTTTGAAAACTCATGGTTATCAGGGAGGTCCTGGACAATTGGAAAAAGGCAAGTATAGTGCCCATCTTTTAAAAAAGGGAAGAGAGAGAATCTGGGGAACTAGAGACTGGTCAGCCACATCTCAATCCCTGGAGAAATCATGGAGTGGATCATCAAGGAATCCATTTTCAAATATTTGGAGGACAGGAAGTTGATCAGGAAAAGTCAACATGGATTCGTGAAGGGCAAGTCATGCATGAACAACCTGATTGCCTTCTATAATAAGATAACTGGCTCTGTGAATATGGGAAAGAGGTCCGTGTGTATTAAATCTTTTACCTTTATTTTAGCAAAGCTTTTGTTAGGGTCTCCCACGGTATTCTTGCCAGAAAGTTGAAGTATGGCTTGGATGTCTATAAAGTGGATAGAAAGCTGGCTAGATTGTCAGGCTCAATGGGTAGTGATAACGACTCACTGTCTAGTCAGCAGCTGGTATCAAACTGAGTGTCCCAGGAGACCTCCTTCGCATTTTCTGAAAAGCTTATACCTTTTAATGAGTTCTGATATGCTCATAAAAGGTCAGAATACTATTGCTCTGCATTTACAGCTTCTTTCATCCTAGCCTCTCAAGCTCTTTACAAAAGCGGGTAAGTATTTTTATTCGTAGTTTGCAGATATGCATCCCTGTTAGGGTGGGGTATTGATAAGTTACGTTTTGCAGGTATCAAGTTAGGCATGTGAACATGAAGGGATGAGCAGCACTCTTTGGAAGCAAGTGTAGAGCAGATTGAGCTCTTCCCTTTGAAAATACCCTTCTTGGGCACGGTATGTGATGATACTGCCTGCTTCCTCTGAGGGGACAAGACAGCTAACTCTGCAATCAACTGCTCTTTACTGCTGAAAAATTCCAGTCCTAAACAGTGATTTGGTTATGGTCTAGAATGGAAGTAAATATTGTATACTTTCTCACTACTATGGAAGCAGGAAAAGGGGATTTGTATCCAGTCATCTAGGTTTGTCAGTAGCAGAACAAGAGTTAGACTCACTCAGGCCTGACAATGCGAGAGCGAGACATTAACAGACACTTTCTCCACTTCGCTCTCAAAAATAAGGATGGAATGCTGACTCCAGCAAGGACCTTGAGATGAGGTAGCATCTGGGAGGAACTAAGATAACTGTTAGCCCTTGGTATATGTAATGGGAAAGTATATATACTGCTTCATAACTGCTTGTGTTCGATGATCTGCCTAAGGGATGATCTGCCAAATCAGGCTTCCTGTGCAATTGAACAAAATAAAACTGCCTCTGGCTGCTTGTTGCTTACAAACACAGAGTGAAGGCTTGTTTTCTTCCACACTACTCAACTAGTATAAGTAGCTGAAATTCCAATTTTGCACAAACATTTTGATTTTTTTTCAGATATTCTGTTTTGGGGTAAGCTTGGTTTTTTGTTTGTTTCCTTTGTAAGTTTGTCTTTTCATTTTTGTTCTTGAATCTTCCTTTTTATCTAATTTCCATAGTGTATCATCTCATGTTGCTGATAACAGGATGTTTGAGAAAGTAAAGCTATATTTACAAAGATGGTCTTCATGGCAATGTTCACCTGGCTCAAAAGCTGTATTTGAATTAGGGGCACAGTTTCATGAAGAACAGACTCTTCAACAAAGCAGACTGCGAGTTCAGGCTGAACAGTTTCACTTTGATCACACACTTAAGCAGCCACCTTTTGCTGAAGAACATCTGATGTAACACTAGTGACTAGCAGTTTCAGGTGGTCATTGTTGGGTGTCCATGTGGGGTAACGGAAAGCAAAGACTTCTGGGTCTGAAATGTGTTTTTCCCCACCTCCTTCAAATATTATGTAGTTATGGTGATGTAATGGATATGGTTTACAATCCTATGGCAATATGGCTCCGTATTCTAACGGATGTCCTGTAGAGGGCTACTTTATTACTTGTTTCTAGTATACCTCCAATTTAGGAGCAAGACTAGGGCTCTGACATCTCAGGATGTGTATTTTTGTTGTTGTTTAACAAAATTTAGGTGGGGTTTTTTTGTGGTTCTCCAATTTTATTGAAATTACAACTTTGAAAAATTTACTTAATCATCTTAGCTTAAAGTGACCTGAAGTGGGCCACTTAAAGGGATTTTGAAGAGTTTATACAGACAGGTACAGGGCTAGAACTGTTAGTCTTATATGTAGTAAGACGTCAAACCTGTATTTTCTCCTATAGTTGAGGGTGAAAAAAGCCTTTTATGAATATATGTATTACAAATGGGGAGAAAAGAAGCTGGGAAATAGAGCTCTAAAATGAAGTTATGGTGAAGTGAACTGGGCAAATGCTGCAAAATCAGAGTATTCACTAATTTAAATGAACTTGTTTCAGCTGTAATCATGTATGTCCCTTGTGTTAGCTTTCCTCAAATATTTAAGTGACTGTGCTTCAGGGACATAAATGAGTGCTGACAGCAGAGTTCAGGCTTGCATCTTTAGAGTACCTATGGATAATGCATTTTAAACTGGCATGCACCTTCAGTGATTTTATTTAGGGTGGAATACAGTTTGACACAGGATGTCACATCAATCCCCACCCACTACAATCCTGGCACAGAATTACTCAGT